CGATCATTTTTCTTTTTAAATTTATTCTGAAGTGTGATGATGACCATTTTTCTTTTTAATTTGGCTAACACAACAAAGTAGCAGTTATTCACCAACTTGTAAGGTGATGAAGCAGAAGGATAACTGAGTTTGATGGGAATATTCTGCCAGGATCAGGACTCTGACTCCAAGTTTGTGGTATGGATAAAAATAGTATTTCTGCTTATCATTCTTCTAGGAACAGCTGCTGCTGATAAAGCTCCAGATTATGTTTCAGAATTGGAAAAATCATTTAGTCACGGTCTTTGAGCAGCATCGATGTACCATTTAGGTTCAGTCTGCAGAGTTAAATCTGCTTCAAGACCTTTTCTAAAGTATGCCATCACAATATTACTCTGGGAAAAAGGCAGTGAAGAATGAAAACTGCATTTACAGGTAGATAGCTCTTGTATCAACCCACCATTGGGTAAAATGAAAAAACAAATACCATAGTAATTTTAATTTTTAATTCTTTCAACTACTTGCTGAAGTTTTCTATGAATTGTGCACTATTTAATGAGATTTTGTAAGAGGACAGAACCGTGAGATTTACATTATTCTATACCTTGAAAAGTACCTAGAGGTTATGCAACAGTAGGACAGCCCATCAAACTTCACTGCCCTAACATACTTTGCAAGAAACTGAAAGCTTTGGGAGATGCTAGACAGGTGCTCTCATTAAAATTAGTACCTGAATATGTCTACATGTGCAGAGTAATTCCTTTCTATACAGTTATCTAATTATTACAGTGCACCCACAACGGCAATATCCTTTGCTCTCTCTTCACAACTCTAACCAATTAGACAAAGTCAAAACCACTGAAATGTGTCAGAAGGAATTCTACTGGTCACTGAGGGAGTAACAAACTTTCCTTTTAGACTATTTTTTTCAAATGTATTTCTCCATATCAACACTTTGTTCATTACTGAGTTTATGTTTGAGCACTTTGACTACTAACTACACCCTCTTCAGTTAAGTTCACATACCACAAAGTAGCTACAGCAAAATCAACGTGAAGTCAGGAACCTACACCATATTTACTTAGATCTGGGAGTCAAGGACTGGGATATTTTAAAGAAGCAACCAAGAACAGTAATTCCAAAAATAAACATGTGTAAAAGAACTAACCCTGCCCACTTCAAAGTCATGGGAAAGATTCTTATCAGCTTCGCTACTTGTTAGATTAGTTTGTTATTTAGGCCCAGGATCTGGTTTTATTCCTTTTGCTCTGTTCCTCCTTTTTACTCAGCGCTCTGCACAGACTGAGATGTGCTACTTCCTAGTGCTTCATAAAACAGCATGCAGAACAGAATGACTTGAAAAGCCAAACAACAAGATAAAGTTTGAAAAGTAAAACTTCCCAACAGTTATAAGGTTCAAAAAACCAGCCATAATTCCAAAGGGTGCTCAGGAATATAAAAATAAATAAATCTAGTCTAAAGGAAGCTCCAACTCCAAAATAAGGAATGTTACAGGATCAGATATGCTCCTGAAAACATTGAGTGTATTGCAGAGAGAAAGTTATCATTCAGTATTTTGGACACTTTATAAAGAGAACACTTTCCAGAACATTATGGATATAGAATGCAGCAAGTTAGCTACCATGACAGAATACAAGCCCCTAGCAAGACCTTTTAATAACATTCTTTCAAAATTTAGTTATCAGAACTTCAAACGTTGCAGAGCAGTATTTAGATATACTGTCCCTAAACAAAACTCATATTAGGCAGCACCCAAATATTGTTAAAAAGTTATATTCTGTTGTAGTTACTAGAGTTCCATTTCTGAATGTTATTTATTGACCAGCTAGTGACAGAAGAGTTACAAAGTACAATTTTTTGACAAGTTTTTTAATATAATTAAACCCACATATATTAACTGATATAAGCAAATGTCTACTTGCATACACAGATATGCTACTTAAGAAATATAATATTGTTTATATAATGCATATGAACAAAATTATAGCTATAAGCTATATAGCTTCAGGACTAGAGACCAGTTTAATAGGTTATTAACTGTTAGATTTGCCTTCCAAATTCTAAATGCCAAAGACCAGTCTAATCAAGTTGAAACGTCTCTACAGAGCCCTAAGATTTGGCTGCCTAAGTTAGGCACACATAGCAGCACTGTGCTTGCTTGCAGCAGAACTCTCTCTCATCCCTGCTTACCATGCTTTGGTTCATCTCACAGAGAGGTCGTGGAAGTCCTTGATTAGCTAAAGCTAATGCCAAGTCTTTAATTCAACATAAACCAACCCTTCAAAAGGTGAGATCAGCCAACCAGTGCCCCTGGCCTGCCAGCAGCCAAGGGGCAGCTATTAGGCTGAGCTGGCAGGGCAAGACAGTGCATGTTTCCCAGATGCACAGACCAGACCATCAAGAGTGAGAGTCCCTTCCAGCCCCATCAATAATGAGGTGAGTAGCACAGAAGGCATCTTGACTGGATGCCCTTGCCTGAGGTATTTTAACTGGCTGGTTGGGCCAAACAGCACATGCATCCTTTCCAGCTAAATTGTTCCTGTCTCACTTATCAGCAAGAGGTGCCTGCTGTAAGCCTGTACGTTTGTACTTATACGAGTAGCACAGCAGTGGTGAGTGGGGTGGCTGGAACTAGGAAGCGTTGATATGTTGATAATCCATTAAGAAGGATAACTGTTATAATAAAATTGAAGTCTTCCATGGACCAGTCAGTCACTGAAGATGGATTCCCCTAATGCAAATGTGTTATGCTTAAATATTTAGTATTATTTTAGGGTCAAGACACTAAGAATCATCTTTACGTAGTCACCTACACTGCCAAATATCCCTGACTTATAACACTGGCCAGGAATACCAGTCAAAACCAAGAGGTTTACACTGTTACTCTTATTTGTTACCTGAGCAGCAGCATAAATCAATGTATAGGATCACTCACAGAGCTGCAATGACTCAATCAATGATGTTGCAGAACTACAGAACATAAATTCCTACTAGAAACAACTGAATAGAAAACACTAACACTGACACCATGAGCGAACACAGCTCCATCCAGCACGAGCCCAAACAAGTCTGAAAATGGTTTTACATCGTTTTAACACTTCTGCCCGCTGAGGCACATGTATTGCTGAAAGCAACTTCTCCTGAAGAATGGCTCATCTAATTTGCAGTTACAGCCTGTAGCGCCTTCCTCCCTCTCCTACGCCACGCTAGGGTCACTCTGGGAGTTTATCACTGGAACATAGGAATTACTAGCTATGCCTGCTAGGGTCACTCTGGGAGTTTGTTATCACTGGAACATAGGAATTACTAGCTATGCCCAAACACTAGTCACATCACCTATTAAATGTGTACAGAAAAGCACAGACAAGTTAAAATGCCTTTTAATTATTACAGCATGGTAGTTCCCCAACAGGAATTTGTTCCATGAGCTAGGCCTTTCTTCCATGCCAACATGTAACAATTTCAGCAGAAATAGTCCCTACAGAAAAAGACTACTTGACAAAGTTTTTGTAATGCTGTAACTGTCTCATTTTTAAAAGACATACAGCTAAAGCTACCCCAATATAGTTAAGGGAATCCAAAAATGACTGTATCAGATAGAACTGCATTTGCCCCAAAGGGTAGAGCTTTAGGGTATCAGCTTTTAAATCAGAATAGTTGCAGCAGCACACAAGCCAAGTGTAACCCAGTTCAAAGAACAGGGCCAGGAAACAGGCTACCATGATGGAATGAGCAGGGTGAGAACCTGCAGGCATGTCACTGATGCCATCTTGTTTGCTGTGTTGGGGGGTTCCCGAGGGTGATTTGCTTGTACATAGTTTAAATTCGCCAAATAGTGGAATTTGATTGATTTTTATATAATACCCTGCTTACGAATGTCCCTTATTCCCTCTTTTGAGATAGATGTTTTAAAGCATTTCTGTCAGAGTAAATATAACAAATATTGAATAGCACTGAGTAAAAAGTTTCTCAAGGCACAGCTACACAACATGAGATGCATATTAGCAGATTATATGAATGCAAAAATCATAACAAATTGGACAAGTTTTAGTCATTTCAGAATGTATGCAGCGTACAGCATCAGCTATTTCAAGAGATACATTATTCGCAATTGTGTTATTTTACCATATACAGGAGCTGGGAATAATCACAGAATCATTTATGTTGGAAAAGACCCTTAAGATCATCGAGTCCAACCATTAATCAACTAAACCTAGCTATTCTAATTTCTGATATGGAATTATTGTAGTTAGTGCTTTTACAGCAAATAATAATCTCACTATTTCAAAAGATTCAAAGTTTTTGCATGGAAAGATCAATGACAAAGTTGACAATTCTCCTTTCTAAATGGCACGGTTTGGGCTGCAAATATTGTGCACCTTTATCTTATATTACAAATATGTGATCATTCAATTAGCTTGCTTGACTTACTGAGCAATCTTTATCATTCTTTATAGCTCTGAATAGAGAGGGAGGCTTGAGCTGATACAACACCTCCTGAAACAAAGTTCACTTATATTGTATGCTATACTAATACATAGTTCTCATATACTAATTACTTATAGTAAGTATAAAAAGAAAAACAAATCAGGTAAACATTTATATTTACTCTTTTCTACAAAACAGCAATCAACACTTTAAAATAAAAGTTTGTCCTAAAGGGACAGTACTTTTATCTGAATAAAATATCTTTTTATCTTAAATGTCTTGTCCCAAATAAGTAATATTTCATAAACAGCATTCACAAAGCTGTTGGGCAGATTTTCAGCTTGGTAGAGCAGCACAGCATTAGAAAACTCAATACATCTTTAGCCATTTCAACCATTTAACAATCTGAAGTCAGCATTTCAAAGACACACACAGGCACCTTTCCTACATAAAGGAACCAGTGTTGTTGTTCTGTTTTTAAGCAGGTAACACGCTAAATTGTCTAACACTGTATATAAAAACTTCACGCACACAGGTCACTGCAATTCCAAGAAGTCAAAATTGTATCTTACCGAGACTGAACTCCAGCTTTGGCTCATTTGCAATTCTCTGAATACCTTTTAAGGTTAAGAAAAAGAAAAAAGTTATTAGAAGTAATTTGATTTTAATGTCTAGCTTTTTAATACATTGTAAAACTTTCACGTGTCTAATTCATACCTCTAACTACCTGCCATTGCCATCAGAGTAATATTTTATGTTACAAACTTATACTGAAAGAGACCTTTGCATTAAATAATTGCCTGAGAAAAAACTACCTTTGAAGAAGAGTTCTTTCTTCTTAACAGAAACTTTCTGTTGCTGGGAAAGGAATGCAAGGAAAAAAAAACCCCAAACCCCAACCTTTCATGGATGGGTAGTTTTAAGACCTTCAATCACAAAAAACTAACTATATGTCTATTGGAAAAATATTAAATCGAACAATTAATTTTTAAGTAGTTATGTTATCACATGAAAAATGGAAACAAAAAACATGTTCTGTGAAAGTATGTAAATCAGGTTAATACCGTAAAATATATCACCATGTTATTGACCTACATATAAATTGTAAAGCAACAAAACCAACGTCTCTCAGTTGGAAAATAGCACATGAATTCCTTTTCTCATATAGCAAGGACAATAAGAACATTTTAATTCCCTCCATTGTGGAATTATGTTCTAGTGCATATTTTACTGCAAAGGACAATATTTTCTTATTGCACTAGGATAAAGGAGTGAACCACAGAGCTGCTACAAGAGAAACGTAGGAAGGTTAGTTAACTAACACAGAGTTGTTCACCTCTGCAGGAAGTAATTGGATCACAACTACAGTATCAACGAACCCTGCAGAAATCAAACTCTCTTGTTCATGTTTATATATTGTCTCTAGTGAGCATTATCACGTATTTGCCAGTATTGAAGAAATTGGTCAGATGGGAAAGACCAAGTTGGTATATGAACTGGAACCCAAGATTTTTGTTCAAAATTAAGAATAATTAAGAAAAAAAAAAACTCACAAAAAACACCACCAAGACTTCTAGATGTTCTTGCGCCACGAAAACTTGATGTTGCTGAATAGGTCTAGTTTCACACTGTTGTCATTACTATAGCTAATCATTCAAGTCTGTGCAAGAAAAATTACAGCTGCAGAGCTTAGAAAGGCCTTGGTCAGTAAGAAATAACAGATGAGGTTTTTTTCTTCAATGGAGTTCTAACAAATTTCTGAATTGAATTCTGCCACTAACAGAATCAGCATATTGGTCTGGAACACCTTTAGAAATATGCCGGATACAGACTTCATTAAGTAACTGGGCAACTGGAATACAGTGCCCAGAGTCCAGTGCACCAAACATCTCTCAATGCATGGCTATGTGCTTTCAAATCCCCAGAGTGCCTTTATATCACAAAGAACAAACCTCTGATACGTTTATCAAAGTTATCAGACTATATTTTAAACAGGAAACAAAAGAGGAAAATATTATTTCTAACTAAACAGTTTTTAAGTCTTATGAAAAAAGCAGATTAGAGCAAAAAAGTCAGAAACACAGTAATCACACATTTGTTCCCCTGAAGGTTATCTGCATAAATCAAAATATATCAGGTAATGATATTTAAATATGATCTTCATCAGTTTACTTCCTCTACAACTGCACTTTGGGAAGCAACAAGTTAAACGGTATTATGCACCTTGTTTGTGACACTATCTGTATTGCTACAAAGAGTAGGCCATTTTTATTGTACCACTCAATAAACTGAGTATAGGCACTTACTCGTAAACTGTGGCTCTCCTAGACTGTCAGCTTGGGATGAAGGGAGGAACTGCCGTGCTTCATCTGATGATCTCTCCTCTTTGATTTCCATGATCAACCTCCGGAGCTGCTGAATTTTATTCTGCAAACCTTCCGAGTTTGCCTCTCCCAGTGCCACAGCCCAAGATTCACAATCTGGCTTTGATGCAGCTTCAAGGTAAAGATCTGGTTCTCCACTCTGAAATTCTGCACTCAGAAAACATAAACACAGTTTTTAGGAACTCTGATTCAAAGGGGAATCATGACAATGTTGATGTCACACACGATTAAAACCGCACACACATTTCTTTTCACAGTCACAGAACCATGCACCCCATCCACCTCTTGAATTGAACCCCAGTTCTTTCATACTCAGTGCAGTACTAAGTCTACCCACAGACTGGTTCCAAAAGCAATTAACACATTGTTAAACTAGGTGGCAGAATCAACCCGAAATGGGAAATCCTTTTTTAGCACAGATTCTGCAGCTTAGCAGGTAGCTATCAGAGCTGCTAACTTGAGCAAAAATTTGATTTAGCAGGGGCAGCAGGCATGGTTCTGACAGATAGTGGGATTCACCAGAATGAATGTGTCCATCATTTCTTCTGTTAGAGTTCTCTTTTATGCTCAGTCTCTCATTCATCCTTGCCAGAATACTGCTCACCAACACATGCAGATAATTTAGCGTGACATAGCTTCTCTGTGAAGACTCAACAGGTTGTATGTGGGAGCTTCTGACCTCATTACTATCCACGTGTCATTTACTGTTCTGCCTGAAGTCTAATTGTTTAATGATTGAATTTTCTAAGAACAAAAGAAAAAAAAAAGGGGGGGAAGTAGCAAGGGTCAGTTGTTTGATTAAGATGAGCACAGGAAGAAAAAACACCTCTTAGGCATTTAAAATTCTGTGGTATAGATGGCTTCACAGAGTTACAAATTCAACGTGACATTTAGTGCGACACACACCGAGAAGTACAAACTGAGAAAGAAAGAAAAATCAATGCTTCTTTAAAAGAAGTTACCAACTGATTTAGCAACATAAAACTCTATAAAACTCCTGTGCTATTGTATTAATAAGGACTGAAGTATTTGGTTGGACATCAAAATCATTTTGACCTAAATAAGCCATAGATCATACTATTGGATGAAACAGAATACTTAAATGTTTTCATACTTAGTTCAAAAATCCAAATAACATAGAAAAGTTTTTTTCAATTCAAAGTGAACTTAAATTCCCTTTCACTAACTTGAGTATCTAACCTTGGGCACTTACTCACATGTTATTCCAAACCTGTTTGCACTTCATAAACTGAGCATCTGCCACTTACAATTAACTCTGCTTTTATTGTTATGGGGGGAACAAAAGATGCAAACCTCAAGTCTGGAAGCCTCTTAAAACTGTGCTGGCACAAATCCCAGTAGAGGTGGGGCAAGTTTTTTGTCTGGGGGTGGATCTAAGGAAATCTAAATGTGTGGCTGCAGCTGCTGCTAAGAATGCTGGATAAGACTTCACATACCAGTTGGACTATAGCATTCATGAGGAAAGACTGGAAAGAAGAGCAGAAAGTAGGGGAACATCTTTCTGGCTTCACAGGCAATTTAAGAAGTGCTAGTAAGGGATTCAAACTCTTGCCTCTAGCCCTGACTCTAGAAAACACTTTCAGTCAAAGAACAAGGTATTCAGTGCTTGAGACAAGAATATTAAAATCTGAGCTTTAGTTTGTCAAAGATTAATTTAGAAAGAAAAGTTTCAGCTGTAAGCTCTCGTGTGATCTGCTATTGCATCTGAGCCATGAGAGCAGTAGCCTTCAAAAAGATTGGTAATTAAAAGAGCCGATAACTTTGCTGCTGCTGCTCTGCTAAGATCTGCAACAGCACAGGGGTCTACTCCCTTTTGACACTGACCTCAATGATTCAGAAGTTTGTTTTTATTTTGTAGTATTTTGGAGCTAGCAGTGGAAAAAGGAAAGGGGGG